CACGATTTCTTGGAGGTTTCTTAGGCAGCTGCTCTGCGATTCCAGGGATAGAGGCGGTACGGCCTTTCTGCCTCCCTCCTCCTTCCTTTCCGGCCCTTCTTCCAGAGAGCGGGTGCTGCCGGCCCTGCTTGGCCAGCAGGTGGCACAAATAGTGCGGGCATTTACAGCAAATCGCTTTGCTATCTCACGGCGATACCCGCCGTGTCCTTAAGAGATCGGAAGGACCCAGCCTGCGATGTCCTGCTGTAACGGAGACTCAGCTCACTGTGCAGAGCTATCACTGTGTTAATTTCATGGGTTTTATTACATACAACTCGTTTTTTAAGAAGCTACTGGTGTTCGAGATGAAACAAAACTGACTTTTCACCGCCTGTAACTGTTGTCTTGCAGGGTTTGTATGGATTGCCAGGATAAGAATTAAGATTTTTGGCCAGAGTTTCAAAATACTGGTAGATGCATACAATTTTAAAATTCCTGTTATTTGTGTCTACATTCAAATTAACAATGCTTATTAGTCCTTTACAAGAGAAACGTGTGAGGTGTCCGCTTTTCTGAAGTGTGAACACCTTGCTCCAGAAATACAAGGGTTCATTATCCCAAAAATTTTAGAAAGGAAAATGATAAAAAGTCATAAGGAAGAGACAAAGAAATCGGAAGACATCTGCAATTGCATACAATAATCTTGTTTATGAAAGCTATCTGAAAGGAGAAGGAAATACTAGTGTGGAAGAAAATTTAGTCTAAGCAAGCTTTACTGTGATGGGAAAAGATGTCCTTATCTCTATGTTATGTCTTAATAACACTGAAATAAGATTAAGCCAAAACCATATCCTAAGACCTTTAAGCTTTACGCTTGAGATTGGAGCCTTCCAGGTGACTGAATGAAAACTAAGAAACAAAAAGGTCAGTATTATATATCACTGTTTTGTGAGCAGAAACTGAAATCCGGGTGTTCCGTTGGATAGCTTTTTGGGGATGGAGTCAAGCTCACTCTCTTTCTCAGTGTACAAAGCAGGACAACATCAACAAGAGAAGCTGAGGAGTAATCTGGACTTCAGGACAGCCTAGAGCAGCACATCTTTATCATTTTAGTCCATACCTCACTTCGTTAACTCTGAGAATTCTTCATTTTCCGTTCCTGCATGTAGTTGCCACAGTTGCGCAGCAGGATGCAACACGCCTCGCTTGTAGTGAAGTTCACAGGGGTTTTCTTTTGGGACATTCTCGACACTTGAAAAGTAGGTCTTGGTTGTCAAGATGCTGCCCTTAATGATGTGACATTGAAATTATGAAGCAGAAAAGGTAGCCTGACCCAAACTTTCCACAAACTGGGTAACAGATCTAACCACTGGCCTATAAAACTAAACCATTATAAACCATTTCCACCAACTGCATTTTGAAAATAAACTGAACTATCCTCAACAAGAAAGCCTTTTGGTACAAAATTCCAGGGGAAATCAGTTCACCTCTGAATTCTAGGCAGGTAAAAGTACATTGCTGTAGCTCAGTGTTATTTAGGTTCTGGACATATATTTCCATCTTTTCTTCCTGGCTATCTTATGTTGTTACATAACACGTTTTTAAATAGAAATGAGTTTGCTCTTCCCAGTCTGTAGTGATTTATAAGTGTATGACTAGATTTACCGTTTGGATTCAGATTTAACCCAAGCAATGCTCCCTTCTGGAATATGCTCACTTAAAAAATAGAGTGAATTAAAAATCTAGATAGGAGGGAGTGGGTACTGATACTTTACATCAAGAAGGGAAGAGACGATGTCGTCCTTCAGGCACTGAGTGCTCCACGTGTTCCTACCTCAACCAGTACTGCCAGGATCATCCCTATTTTGCTTTTACCTACTTCCACACACCCCGAGCTCCGCCAAGAATTAGGACCTGGGAACCGTGGTCAAGCAAAACTCTGAACAGAGAGTGGACCTGGCAAGTCTTCATGAAATTGCATTAGCATGGCACAGGGCCTGAGCTGATAAACTCTCCTGAGAAGGTATATAGTACCCACCTGAGAAGGATATATTAGCTTTGTACTACTCATGTGACAATGTGGTCATACTGCTTTTATCAGCTTGGAGTACAAGGAAAGCTTTGGTGCACTTGCAGAAAAATGATGGTCTTTCATCTGTCTAAATGTCATGAGATCATATATGGAAATATGGAAATGATAGATTTCATTACCTGGCTAAGTATAATGTACTACAATATAGCCTTGTCTCAGTATCTTCTTGTGAAAGCTGTTGCTTACAGTTTACAAAGATGCATATGTCTACTACTGTGGAAATTTCAAAGAACGTTCTATCACCTTCTTTCTTTGTGTCTGTAGTTTTTCTTCAGCAATTTTGAACAGATACGGAAAAGAATACTCAGAAGGCAGTAATGATAATTCCTTTGTAAAAGGTCCAGACAATAGTTTAAACTACTAACTCATGTTAACATTTTTTTCTCTGAGGCTGGGCATTTGTTAGATGTCATATGAATTCCCCCTGGTACACAAGTCTTATTTCCGTTCAGTGGATTCATTCCTAATTGCTTGACTTACCAGGCATTTGTTACTAACAATAGGATTTTCTCAAATGGCTATTGAGTTGCTGTCAAAATGTGTCAAATTCTCAACATATGATCTTGCAGGAAGGTTTATAGGGAATTATGCTTTGGCTTAGCAAAGTTTTTATTAGCTGTGTTAGAGACTCTGAATTTATCTCTGAAGATAAATGGTTTTGACACCAAAATGGGCTGCTGATGTCACTGTTTCATCTCTCAGAGTAAATTCATTGTTAAAGCCAAATTCGAAATCTCTGGTCCCACTTACTATTAACTTAGCTGTGTTGGTTAACAATGTTACACAAAAGTAATAATTGCTTTCAGTCGTATCGTTTCAGGTATATGGTATTAAGTTATAAGAAGGTATCAAAATCCTATATAGAAAAGTTCAGGAAACAAAAAGTGTGTAGCCATTTTGTTAAGTTCAGGTTGTTGTACGGAGCTTAGATAGTGCAGACAGACTTGATTTTCAGAAGGTAGAATCTCTGAAAATATCATTCTTTTTGATGTCTTAGATTAGATAAGAAAAAAATCACCAGCCATTTATGACATCTGCACCATTAAGCTAAAAATGTTAAACTGGGAAGTTAGGGTTTTTATTGCCCACAGCCACAAACCAGAAAGCGTTTCAGAACAGTCTTTTCATTTTTAAAAGATTATAATTTTATCTATTAGATCAAAATTATCTGTCAGACAGCAATCAGTTCTGGATAGGCAGTGGTCTTAAATATCAGATAGACAGATATCAGTTTTTTTGCAGATTTGTCTGTTACCTAAGAAAAGATCTGTATATGCATGCAAGTCATGGATGTAAAGGTATTTGCAGAAATACTCACTTTTCTGATTTAATTAAAATATATACTTCTAAAATCTGGACTTTCAAAGAGAAAAGCTATACCCACCCTGAACTAATGTAAATGGTGTAGTCTGAAAGATGTATCGTGTGGAGGACAGATGGATGACATGATTTATTGAACATGCTAGTGTCAGCTTGGCTTAGAAACTGCTGCTGCCCATTATATCTCCATAGTATATTATTGAATATTGCTGAACCTATGAGCAAATTTTAAGTAAGCTTTTGAGTTTAAGATACGAAGATTAACATATCTGTGTTTGCAAAAAGCAGGCTAGACTATCATAATCACAAATTTTAAAGGTTTTGACATCATTTTGCTTCGAAATAATATCTCCCCTGTAGATCATATGGAGGTATTATCTCAGTTATAACTGTTACATCATCAGCACTTTGTGTAGAATAGGTATACAAATCAAATTCCTGAAGTTTTTAGTGAACTTCTCATTTACCCCAAATTTTAAAACTGAAGCTATTCCATGTATCAAATTGCAAATGCAGATCTGCATGTACCTAAATGTGTTCCAAATCAAAAGCAGCTGCAGAACGGCAGCAGGGATGAATAGAGATGAATTGAATTGCACTTTTTAGAAGACCTTGTCGATTGTGCATAGTTGTTACAGATTTTCTGGAACCTATGACTACTCAAGTGTTTCAGAGAAACAGCTTAATACTTTAAAGTATTAGGCCATCACCATTGCCCTTTTTAGTTCATTAAATGGAAGCTAATACTCTACAGTTGGCATAGTCTAGATCAGGCCAGGACAAGGAACTGAAACCTTTGAAGCTATTCTAATGAATGATTTTCTCTTTTGTACGGATAGACGACCAATGGCTAATCTCACCCTTTAGACCTCTCTGCAGAGTTTAGCATGGTTGACCACAAAATCCTGCTGTCTAACATGAGCTAGGTGGCAGGAGTCCGAGGTACTGTACTAACGTAGTCTGGGCCTTTCCTGAAGTGATACTTACCTCCTTGATCCTTCCCTGCTGGAGACCTACACAAATCAATTCTCTCTTGTCTCCTTTTCTAGTAATGGAATTCATCCACTTTGGCAGGTGGGCTCAAGACCCTAGCATTTTGCAGATGATACCCAGCCATGTGCATTTGTTACCAACTAGGACTCCGTCATCAGCTCTGCTACTGCCAAGGTGATCAACTGATTGTAGGAGGTTAGCTTAATTAAACTGAAGTGAGCTAGACAGATGTCATTACAGCTAGATTATATAATGTTTCTGGGGAAAAATCTTCAGTGTTTAGGAATGCCACGTAGTATAAAATACTGTAGCTCATTCTTGCAGTAACAGAGGCTACCACAAGTAGCCTGCTTCTTGTAAATTGCTTCCCACAGAAATTTACACTGGGTTAAGTATTTTGGATCTCATCTCCAAAATACACCATCACTTGGGTCCAGTTTCTCTAAAACATTGCTTAAATCTCTGAAATGAAGAAAACAGAATCAAAAAATCACAGAATAGCTGGGGTTGGAAGGGACCTCTGGAGATCATCTGGTTCAACCCCACTGCTCAAGCAGAGTCAGCTAGACCAGGCTGCCCAGGACTATGTCCGGTCAGGTTTTGAACATCTGCAAGGATGGAAACTCCATAACCTGTCTGGGAAATCTATTCCAGTGTCTGACCACCCCCACAAGCTTTTTCTTATGTTGAAACATAATTTCCTTGTATTTTGTTTTGTGCCCATTGCCTCTTGTCATGTCACTGGGCACCACTGAGAAGAGTCTGGTTCCATCTGCTTTACACGCTCCCTTCAGGTGTTGATAAACGTTGATAAGATTCCCCCAGGAGCAGTCTATTCTCCCGGCTGAGTAATCCCAGCTCTCTCAGCCTCTCCGTGTATGCCAAGTGTTCCAGTCCCTTATTCATATTTGTGGCCCTTTGCTGGACTCATTCCAGTATGTCCATCTCATACTGGGGAGCCTGGAACTGGATACTGTAGTCCAGATGTGGCCTCACCACTGCTGAGCAGAGGTTGTCATGGTTGTCACAGTGGAACTTTCTATTATATAACTCATTTTTACTAAGAAAACTTTGTTATTTTCAAGATAAATATGTAGTCATTTTATATGTAGCACCTATCCACTGCAAGCCAAAGGGCTGTAGGAAAACAAGGTGCTATACACAGTTTTCTCCTCACAGAGGCAATGAGAGAGCAAACAATGCATAACACAAATGTAATGCACAATTTGTAATATACTGCTGGCAGTTGTGAGGGTACCGTGAGAATCACTGCAGCATAAATGTGCGCAAGTTGCTTCTGACATTTATAATTCAAACTTACATAATACTTTTGGGATTCTCAGAACCTAACTGATTTTCCAAACTGGGTGACATAACAATCAAACTTATTTCCTATTTTATTTTAGGAGGCTGTTTATAGCTGTTTTTTCCGGTCATTCCATGATCCATTTTAAGTGCTGATAGATAGCTTCTTTTGCACATGACCTTGCAAAATCATCTTTTTTTTTTTTTTGCAGGTGCAGTCACCTTTGTTTACATAGTGATTTAAGTCATTATATTCTTTCTGTGCATGTGAAGATCCTTTTAAAAATATTTTAAGTTTTGGAAAATAAGCTCGTGAATGTTTCTCAAAATACTGCAAGGGCTACTAGTAGGGTCAAGTGATTAATTAACAGATTAATCAAACTGCAGCTATAGTAGCTAGCTCATAACTTACAGACTGACAGGTCCATAACCTCTAAAATAATTTGATCAGGTGTAAAAAGCTTTCCTTCTACATTGCCCTTATTAATACAAAAAATACTAATAAAAATAGTCTCCTTTTCAGCAAAGATGTG